AGATATGCGTCCACTACGCCTTTGATGGTTCCGAACCGTATGCGGTTGAACTCTGCCAGGGCCGTCACACTGTCCTTCTTTTCCCCAGTGGGCTCCTTCTCCGCCGCTTTACGAGCCTTGTCCACGTCCCAAAGTCCTGCGAAGTAAAGTAATTGGTTATACATCTGTTTCTCCGAGTACTCGTACGTCATCCGACCAAGACAGCCCTCAGCGTGACCCCGGGGTCCAAGACACCGGTGTCCATATACGCTGATCTGTCTAGTCCGGTTGCCGCAGGCCGTGTCGTCACAGACGAGCCAGCCCTCATAGTACTTCGATGTCTGTGCACGAATTTGTGACTCTAACTGGGCAACAATCGTCAAGACAGAGAATGTCTTCTGACAAGCCTGGTTGGGGCAAACGACACCATTGGCAGTGCACATGTGGGTGGACTGCGCGAGTCCTTCGAAGACCGACTTCTCCTTGCAGAACCGGCAGGTAAGCGTAAACCGGGTAGCGTTCTCAAACCGCACAGAGTCTGGAATCTGCGACTCGAGCGGGAAGATATCGGCATTCTGTTGGTTGCTTCCACTGGAGCTATTGATCTGGTACTTGCGCACATCAAGCCCCAAGCACTCGGCTAGTCGAACGGCATCAGTGCCAGGAATAGGGGCACAGAGACGTTCGATCGGTGGGAAAATCTGCTTGAGAAGGTAGAATTCGATATCAGGCTTGAGTCCCGAATCCGGCTTCATCACATCCTGGGGTGTGTATGACCGCTTGGCTGGTGCGAGAGACGAGGTCTCGGCATCCCCGTTCGTTACAACATACGAAATGACGTCGTTAGGGCGAACCGTTTTACCGCGGGCAAGCTCGCGCAAGGCCACCTGTACCGGGGGCATAGACTCCTTGTTAGGATATTCCTCGGGTCGCTTGGAGAGTTTCTAGATAAGTGAGTTAGTGTGTGTCAACCGAGTGTGCTTTGATTCAAACATACCGTGTAAATGACGTATTTTTGAACAGGGACGGAGTACTCGCGCATCTTCTCAGCCAACTCGCGTAGATAGTCATGGACTCTGTTGAGAACAACCTCCTGATCCTCACCGGAGAGAACTTCATTCAGCAGCTTCTGAGAGACCTCCTTCGACAACGAGCAGTATTCACGCCTCTTCATGTCCAGACCCTTGACTTCGAGCTTATCCACGTACTTGCCATCGACCTCGGTCATGTTGATGGCGGCATATTTCTTCTTGGCGTGAAGAAGAAGACGACGGAACACATTGTCAATGTCGATCTCCAGCAACCGGTAACGTTCGTTTACGGATTTCTTGAACTCATCACCGACCTTTAGCGCATCGCTGATCGTGTCCATGTTCGTGTTGATCATGACCGAGTCAGTATCACCGTAGATGACTCTAAGCTGTTTGGACTCTGCCAGCTCCTTGGTGCTTCTGAGAATCTCACGACCCTTGAACGTGGTGAGCATGGCCAAGGGACGTGCGTAGAAGCGACTCTGCGTGTATCCCAAGCATCCGTACATGGAGTTAGCGGTCAGCTTGAAGGCCAGCTGTTTGGTGTCCCACAGAGCAAGCTGCTCAGGAGTGGCGCGTTTGTCCTTCATCAGCTTCTTAACTTCACGTCGACGACCGACTAAAGTAGCAATAAGCTTAGGCAGAATACCCTGCTCCTGATCGGAAGTAGGAACTTCGGGAACCTTTTCTTCCTTGTCATTATCCACCTGGAGATGTCAGCTCATGTTCCATACAGTTTCCCTGGCATATGAACTCACAGTCGCTGTCCGCTCCACTGTTGTAAAGCAGATGTTGTACTCCTGGATGATACTGGGATACAAACTGTTGAAGTCCATCACTAGGATGAATTTGTCATAGAGACCCTTTTCGGGTTCAAAAACAAGACCACCCTTGTACTTGTCCTTCTTCTTCTTATCGGCCGACTCGTCATCATCACCTTCTTGCATCTTCTCTTCAGCTTTCAGTAGCTTAGAGGAGTACTTGTCGGGACAGATGTACTTGTTACGGTGGAATTCGTGGAGAAGAATGTACTCATTCCGCTCGGCACGCGTACCACTCAGCGTTCTTGCCCAAGAGTTACCAGCAATATTCGTGAGTACTTTGGTCAAGGGCAGCATCTGAAGCCGCAGCACCAACGCAGCAATGAAATAGGTATCCGCATCACAGTGATTGACGAAGTTCATGAGGCCGTCCTTGGTAGTAGCCCATGTCTTCAGTGCTGCCTCGCAATCCAGTTCTTGTCTGGCATTCTCTTTTCCGAGGTAGAGGTCGCACATCTCCGTCAAACTCCAAGATTGACATTTCATCATCAGAGACTTCCAATCATTAGTACGAAGTCGCCTTGAATCAGAAAAGTAAACCGGAGAAACTTACCTTGCCCATATCATTGGCAACATCGCACATCAGTCTTCCAGCAATCAGATGCCTCTCGGCGAAGAAACCTCCACCTCTGTTAAAGTTCTTGGGCCAGTCGCCGCGCTTCAACCGTCCAAGGCGATGCCAGCCAGGGGTCTTCTTCTCCCTCAATCTGCTGAGCAGAATGCTGAGGTCAACCTCCTGAAGCTGATGTCCCATCAGAACATCGGGATCCATCTTCTCGAACAACGCCAGGAACTTGCTGAGCAGAAACTGTTCGCTCTTCTCCAGCATGAATGTGCCCCTCTGCTTCCGCGTTTCGGCTTCAAAGTGCATCGGGTATGAAGAGCCTGCAGGCCGCATGACCGTGAAAGTCTTGCAGGGCAACCTCTCAGGCGGAGTGGTGTCCGTGAGGGAGACATTTTCATATACTCTTGCACTCGCCACGAGGATCTCCTGCTTGTTCTCTTTCACGTTGAGCTGGGTCCGGAAGGAGAGACTCATAAGCGTCAGAGGCGGCGCTTCCAAATTCTCAGAGTCAGGTACCGGAGAAATAAGCGCTGGCTTCGCTGCTTGGCATTCAAATTTGCACCAAGATGCATTGTTGACGGCAGTGAAATCGGCCTCTTCAATCTTGAGCCAACAAGGACCCATGATGTTTTTCCAGAGAACAAACTGCTCGAACAATGACGTGTTTGTGCCGAATACATGCGAAAAGGTCTCGCCCTTCACATCCATTGGCAATGGAGATTTATCATAAGGGTAAAACAGCTTCAGGTATTCGGTCTCTTTCGGGACACCAGGCAATTCGAAAGCGTATTTGCGTGTGCAGGGCTTCATCTTATGCATCCCTACCTTCAGCCTGGACATCATCCCGTCGACTTCATGATAGACATCTTCCATGTCTACCTCTTCATCCGTGTCTCGCCCATTCTTGTGCCGATACTCTCGAGGAAGAAAATAGAGCTTGCGTAGGATATTGTCGATTTTGACAAATGCACTGGCGTAAGAACCATTTTGCTTGTTCTTCACTTTTCCAAACAGGCAAAGACTGCCGTTGACTTCTGTAAAGTCCAGCCAGAACATGCGCAGACTTCCGTCCTCCTCAACGACATCCTGGGCGCGAAGCTTACCGAAGCTACGCATTTCCGACGACGCAGGGCTGCTGAGAACATTCAGCTTGCTCCTTACGTTATTCCAAGATGCGTCCACCTCTGGCATTGGTTTTGTAGGCGAGGAGCTAGCCAGAGGCGGAGTGCTCTCCTTCTTGAATTTGGGCGGAGGCCGGCTTCCGGCCATGTTGACGCTGGTCGCCTTAGCGTCGTTCTGACCAGTGACTTGTGCAATCTCCATAATATCATTATCATCATCGTCAAACTCCTCGACCTTGACAGGTGTTGTGGTCGACTTCCTCTCTACCGCTTTGCTGATGGGAGACGATGGCATCGGGTCACTCATGGGAACGTCGTCATCATCCATGCCAGGAAGCGCGCCATCGTCGTCGTCGAAATTAACCTCTGGTTGATCCTTGACCGGCGAGACAGGGTCACTGTTTTCGTCCCTCTTTATCGGCTTCTCTCTGCGTGTTCTATCGGCGAGCGGGGGTGACAAGATGCGAACTTTGCGACGAGCCTCAGTCTTGACTATATTCCTCGTAGGGACACGATGCGGGACCACGTTGGTATCGACTTCTCCGAGCAAATCGGCCATGAAAGCGTCGTCTTCTGCAGTAGCGACCGGCTGAACAACATATTAGAGAGCCACTCGTGCTCAATGGATGACTTCAATAACTCACCTTGGGCTTGGGAGCAGAGGGCGCAGCCCCACTGCTGAAATACTTCGAGATGCCATTATTGATCTTCTCCTGTCGTTGCTTCTCCTCCTCACGCTTTCTCTTCGCAGCCTTGCCTCGGGCAGGTAATCCGTCGTCCTCGCTCTCGCTGTCGCCGTAGTCTGCGGTGCGCTCGTTCCACACCTCGCGACCGTCGTCTGCATAACCTTCTCCATTGTCGTCGACCACGAAGTCATCCTGATCCAGTCGGTTGCGGATAATCTTCTTGTAGCCCTCATCGTCGACCTCCTCGTAAATGTCGCCTTGTTCCTCAACTTCGTATGTCGACAGGCGTTTCTTTCCTGCGGCGCGAAGGGCGCGCAGCTCCGCCAATTTGGCGCGGGAAGCAGACATGGCGCACTGGTGGTCTTCTACCACAGATACTATGTGTCCATGAAAGTCTTCCTGTGGGTTGATCGGTTAAGGACCCGTATTGGGGTATAGGGAGTGTGAATTGGGGAAGGGGCTGATTGACGGTGCTGGTTGCTACTGTAACTCCGAAAGGCGGGTGTCGCGCGGAGGAGAAAGTAACGCGTGCGGGACGCGGTGAAGACGCGCCCTCCGCCAATCCCCGTTAAGTGGTTTGTTTGCCGATTTCAGTAAGCAGCCTAACACTACTACAGACGCATGAAAAGCCCTTGAGGTTCTACATGGAAGAAATGAAATGTTTTTTACTAATTTCAACTTATCCAAGTATCTCTCAAAGATAGCGTTGTTCGCATTTACAATCTCTCAAATTCCACACTGCCAGTGGTCCTCATGAAATTACTTAGTAGTCCGGTGCCTAGATAGTGCTCTGCCAATCAGTCCGACATCTGATCTGAATCTAGATCGCTATCCTCCTCTACTGCTTGTCAGTGCTTCCAATTGCGGTAGTACCAGCCAGTCAACTTACCCTGAGCCAAACCATAGTCGAATGTCCCTTCTAGACTCACTTTCAGAGTCTCGCGGATTACATTTTGCGCTTCTTCGGTAAGAGTGCTATCGACTGCATTTAGGATAGCCAGGTTGAAGCCTCTGTTCTTTGGCCCCAATTGTGAAATGAAAGAGAGTATGCCGTCGGCGGTGAAGTTGCTGAAGGCGTGGATAGAAAGACTTTGGAGGCTTGGTAGATCCAGGAACGCAGACAGCGTTGTGTCATCGAAGAATTCGCCGCTTATCCAAAGTCTCTCGAGATGAGGGAGCATATGTGCCATGTAAGCCACATGGTCTGTAGTAAAGCCGTCAGAAATATCCTTGAGTTCCAGCTCTCGGAGGTTGCTGAGCTGGCTAATCACATCTGCAAGTATTTCGTTGCCCGGTGGAAATTCGCTCCCTTCGCCGCGAAGGTAAAGATTTTCCAAAGTTCGCTGGCTAGCCAGAGCCTCGTGGAAAAGACGGCTGTCCGCCATTGCATACCCGGATAAAGATAGCGTTGTTAGACGGAGCCCTTCATGGGGTAGGACCTGCGATAACAGGTAAGAGTCGTCGACAAATCGTCTGAGTTCCAAGCGTTGCAAGGCCTTGCAACTGCATATCCATTCAGCAACTCGAGTGACAATTGCGTAAAAGTTTTCGTCTCGCATAGCCGGTATCGAGTCAGTCAGTACCAGTACTTTCAACGCTGGCGCTGCCGTTAGTGAGGGCAGTTCTGCGATTGTCTCGATGGTAAGACTCGTAAGCTTCAGCTCAGCTAGAGATTCCAGATGCAGCCCTAGTGATTTAATAGAGCGAGGCCCCAGCTGAGAGTAGCTGAGTACTTCGAAGTACTCTAGCGTATTGGGGCGCAATTCGGTCAAAAATTGTTCAGAGTCAGCCTCCGCGTTTCTTGGTGGATCATTCTTCCTGTTCTATATGTGAGCATCACAGGCCAACTCTCGCTGCAGAGACATACCACCCATATAATGTAAGCTGTTTGAAATCAGGAGAGTGGTGGCGGATCTTATCGCCAGCATGCTGGCTTAAGGCATCCCCAGACCATATTGTGAGGGACTTTAGCAGGGGTAACCCCTCGATCCATGCAGAAAGGGTTTCCGGTGGTACTAGAGAGCGATCAGACATCTCTGGACCGACTAAGGAAGTTTATGGAGCCTAGATGGAGACTACCGTTACAAGACATTCCTCGTATTGACCTAGTCTTCTGGATGATTGCTTTCAGATGTCAGCACCGAGGAACTACGACGAAATAGTAACGCATCAGGTTAGCCGAAAAGGATGAGAGACCAACCTGTGCCAATCTTCACCATGACCCAATCATTGTCAGGATAGGCTTTTGACGAACGGAGTCGTTTGGATCCCTTGACTTCGTAGTCGTGGGATACCAGTTCCAACAGCTCCGGGGTAAAAAAATCACTAAAAATATTAAGCAGCAAGTAAAATATAGTTAGTAGTGGAAACATACTCCTTCATCGTCTTCGTAAATCGCGGTTCCTTAAGGAGGTCCCCGAAGTCATCCAAATCAAGATAGCGGATATAGCTATAGTACGGGAGGTAAGTTTGGTCCAAAGTAGACAGGATAACAGAACGCCATAACAGGGCCCATTTTCGTATGACTGGATCTTGTTCGCCTTTGGAAGACCAAACGGTGGCTACTCTCCGAGACCTGAACTGCTCGTCTTCTGTACCTCCGCCCCTCACTGGCGAAGTATCACATAACCTGTCATCATCAGCATCCACCACCAACGCGCCATTACATCTATATTAGGAGACTCACTTGTATAATACCGCCAAGGAATGCTCAGTAAAGCATTTTGAAGAAATTGCACATTGAAAAAGGCTGTTGTAATCCTTCTCATCGCCCAGGATATCCAAGATCATATAGAGTACGTCACCGGCTAACGCGAAGGCCATCTTCACGAGACCAGGAAACTGACCACTCCAAAATAGATAGCACAACAACCAACTAAAATAAATCCGTTCAATCTCTGCCTCTAGCGTCTCAAATACAGCATCACGAGGATTGGTGATCAGTGGTATCCTGGGAGCTGACTGAGGAAGCAAGGCGCCTCCCGTACAGTCCCGCTTAGGTAAGCTCGCGTCGTGTTTGCGATCTGCCGTGACCGAGTGACAGGATCCCAATATGATCCAAGAGCCACATTGAGGGTTTTACGAGGGAGTCGCTGCAGATAAGCTTTGATATATCAAGGGTCTATATAGAGCTGCTTACAGCTGAATATGCTGTTCTTATCCTAAACGAACATGACAACTCTCTCATTCTCGCTCGCCCCGCAGGCGATATACCAACTACATGATGCTTTAATGTGTCTGGCAAAATTCGACGATAGTGTGGCAATAGAAGCTGAAATTGACCTGGTAAGCTTATGTCTTATTTTGAGAAAGCTGGAAATAAGCTAACGTGTTACCAAGCTCCGTTTAAGCGTCCTCAATTCGACCAAGACGGCTTACTCTGCATTTATCTTCGAGGCGGATAGCTTTTTTGAATCCTACTCGTTTGGTAGAGTGAGGAATGGCAGTTCGTCTAGGACTGCTCATCCGGAAAAATTCAGCTGTCAGGTGTTGATCAAGGTGGGAACCTACGTACTATGTAGTCTCGGCTTTCGGCTGACATACCACAGGCCCTCCTATCGGCCTTCAAAGCGAAGACGAGTGGACGTGACAAGGACACTTCTGTCGAACGGTGCGAGGTCGAGCTCCAGGAAGATCTAGATGAAAGCGAGTGCCGACTCGTCATCAGATTGATATGTGGACTTGGTAAGGCTCGACCAACCCAGTCCAGGCTGATATGTGGCCCCAGCTCACAGTCCTCCCAGGCGTCATCAAGCTCTACAAACTTACATATGAACATGTCCATGTACAACATGCCATATTCGACAGGTCCAAAGCGACAAACGAATGGAGCATCGAACCAAAGTACCTGAAGGAGATAACAGATCATTTCGGTCCCTCAGCGGAGCATCTAGATATCTACTCCGAGCAAGGCAAGGCCGTCTTCACCAGCTTCACCACGAAAAGCTCAGACGGAAAAGGTATTGCTACAAGACCCTTTCTATGAATCACCTCCATACTCACAGTCTGTCACAGAAATCCTTCGCCAGCCGGTGCACACCTCCGTAGCTATTGAGAAAAGGGACTTCGATTACTATTTAGCGGAAGACCATCTTCACGTGGCCATCCACATGAAGGACTTCAAGGCGGCAATAGCACATGCTGAGACAGCAAATGCGAAGATCACCGCCCGGTTCACCCGTCCATCTCGTCCCTTGCAATTCGCTTACGAATCCGAGGGCGTCAAAACCGAGTTCACGCTGATGACTAGAGGAGACTCACCCGGAGAGGACGCTCCTGGCTCCTCTCGAGCAGCGCCCCAGTTATCCGCACGTCAAACTCCTGCCCCCGTGCAGATAAGCCAAAGAAACACGGCTCCAGAGACTGCACAAATGCCTCCTCCCCGCAGTCGGTCAATTCGGCCACTCACTGGGACTTCTACCCGGGCTTCGCAATCCAATACCGAGACCCAACAACCGCCGCCATCGATGGAGTTCGACAGTCTGTTCGTTCCAGCGGATGACGACAGGCAATGGGACGTGCCAAATGATGAGGATGAAGGTCCGGTCGAGGACGAGCTCGGCTGGGATGCCACTGGAGAGCAGGTATGGATCAAATCGCCATAGGCTTTAAGCCTATTACTGACAAACCCCAACAGACAAGCACAGGCCCTGGGCTACGCGATATTGAACCCCGAATGGCACAGACAAGTCACGAGGAGGAGGAAATGGGCATCCCGCCCACTCAGCGCATGTCTCAGGTAAGTCGAGCGCGCTCGCATCTATTGATCGTGCTGACAACCCGTAGCTGCACGGCCTTGGCCTCTTCGACTGAACAGTCACCCTACACCAGACCATGAAGAAAACCTCCCTCAGTATGAGTACCTCTACCTCAATCCCGAGTAATCACCCAACTCGTGGCACAACCCGCACCGAGCCCAACAACCTCCCCGACTCCATCCGGCAAAGGAATCTGGCAACACACCCCCTTCACATTCCCCTGCGCATCCGTCTCAGGACCACAATTACCATGCTCTCCCCAACCACAAGCCACGACCGTCCTCCCATCGACAAGACCAAGCACATGCTCACTCCCCACAGCCAACCCCTTCACCACCCCCATCTCCCGCGGCGGCAACTGCCCCCGATCATCCCTCCCCCAACACACAACCCTCCCATCAGAACAATGTACATAAACCCCATGCCAACTCGTCTGTATACCCTGAAAACAGCCCACAGGCTCCTTCACCCCAGACATAACCCCCCACTTATCCCCAGACGACCCCAGCACAACAAACTCCCCCTTCTCTCTATCCCCAACCACAACCGTAAACTCCCTCCCACACGCTGCCCCCGTCGCCCGGAACCCTATTTCCTCCTCATCAATCCTAATAGGTTCCCACGCAATCTTAACCTCTTTCCCCTTAGCACCTAACTGACCTTTCCTCCCCCCTCCCCACCCATACACCTGACCTCCCTCCAGCACAACAACTGTATGTCCCATCCCACTCGCTATACTGATGACCCTGTCTTCAAATTCAATGCATCCAACCCCTTCTTTCACACTGGTCTTCCCCTCCCCAACCCCCAATTCCCCCTTCCCCCCGGTTCCTAGAACATACACTTTCCTCCCGGATACCAGGAACGTCGCTTCCCATGTAGCTGACACGTCTGTAAACCTCTCCTCCACCTCCTCACCCACATCACCATAGGAAGTGTTCACAACAACCCGCCGAAACCTCACCACCTCCCCATCTCCATCCCCACTCCCCGAAGGTAATCTACCCCCGCACCGCCCATCCTCATTACACCCCGCCGCATATACCCTCCCATCAGAGAACAATACAAGTGTGTGGTTTCCGCCGGCTGCGATACGGGATATCGTTGGTGTGTTCGATGAGGAAGCGGTGAGATGGTATTGCTCATCATCGAAGAGACATTTCGTTGGGACGGAGACGTCTTCTGTGTGCGAGAGGCCGAGTTGGCCCGAGCCGTTGGAGCCGAAGGCGTAGAGGGGCATGATGCTTTTTCCCTTTTTCTTGGTGGAGGTGGGTGGGGTGTCTGTTTCTGTCTTTGGGTCTGTGTTGGGGGAATCAATTGGTGAATAATGTTTCGAAATAGTTAGGTCTGGAGTGTTAGAGGAGGATTAAAGTAGATTGAGTGGTAGTATTGCAAAGTAGGACATATAGTAAGATTATGGAATATGGGAGAATATGCGTTTAAGGTGATGTGTTGATGTGATGAGAGGGGAAAAGGATGCAAGTTACGACACCGCTTTTCTTATCGCCTGCCCTTTTCGGCACAACGTAGGAGGGTTTGGTGGGCTGTCCGGCCGGCAGAATGCATGCGTGCGGGGCGGGGCGCGTTGCGTTGCGCTGGCAGGGGTCGGATGCATGGTTGGAGATCTCGGTAGGTGTCACGATCGTGATGTAGGTAGGTTACATGAGATCATACTACGCGTTGTACCATGGGACGTTTTAATTGGGTGGATGAATATATGGAGCGATGTTGTATGTAGAGAATCCCATATCATTGAGTGAACCATCACTTCATGGGTATATATATTAATCAAGTCTATATACTAACGAGTACCATGTATGTACCTGGGTATTGAGTGCAAGACGAAAGGAATGAAGGCATCTCTCGCTCGACAGCTGACAAGGAAAAAACAATGTACTAAGAATGCAAAAATGGAATGCGTGTCATCATCATCCAAAATCTGACGTGCCACATCCAATCAATCACACATGCTCGCTTTCCAAAATGAACACCCAAAACGAAAGAAAAGAAGAACGCCATTTATAGTTCGGACTTTTCGTTATATGACTCCGTAGACGAATCTTGCGCCGCGGGAGGCAGAGCAAAATTATCCGTCTTGGTGGCAGTCTGCTCCATCGGGCGGAACATGGGACTGGTGCGGTGGAAGTAGGCATGGACATGGCCCTCCAGGAGGGAGTCATCCGTGTCCTGCACGAAGTCCTCGCCCTTCTCGTTCTCGGAAATCTTGGCGGTCATGGCGGCCTCCCACTCGGCACGGTACTCCTCAACCTTGTGCTTGTAGTCGAGCTCAGCGTTGTAGTTCTTTCCGACGCCCGTCAAACGCTCCCAGAGGGAAAGATGCTTGGAGTGGATAGCAGGGCCATGGTACTCCTGCTCGCGGCCGTCGCGGATGTACTGCCAGCGACGCTCCTGCTCCTTCAGATCAAGACCAGTGGTATCCGGCAGGAACAACAGAGTCAAGACCATACCACCAAGACCGAACCAAGGGACAACGTAGAACTTGGTCTGGGTGTCGATGTAGTTGTACAAGACGGAAGCCAGGAGTGCACCGCTCTTACCGCAAGCGGCGGAGAGACCGTGGGCTGTCGCACGAATGGGAGTCGGGAACACCTCAGCAGCCACGAGGAAAGTGACAGAGTTGGGTCCAAATTGGTTGAAGAAAGAACTCAAGAAGTACATCGCCTGGAAAGCGTGTATGTTCTCAGGCCGGGTGTAGTACTCATAGTGGAAAGCAGGGACGACGAAGAGGATGAAGCACATGAGGAAACCGATCATCTGCATCCACTTACGACCGTAGAGCTTGTTGTCGACAAGGAAAGAAGCACAGTAGTAACCAGCCAATGACACACCAATGTTGCACAAACTCCAAAGCCATGTGGGCATGATAGAGTTGCTTCCAGGGCTAAGCACCTTGATAAATTCGGAACTGAAAAGCTTGTTGCCGTAGAAGAAGACATCGTTGGCGAACCAGCCACCGGCAGTAGCGATAATGCGGAAACCGAAATAACGGAAAGTCAGCTTCAAGGAGTTGACATCGTATCCAGTAACAGAAGCCTTCTTTTTAGCCGCAGCAAGCTGCTTGCTGGCAGCCTTCATGTGGTAGGCACGGTAGTACACTAGCCACAAGGTGCCGACAGCGGGAATGGCGAAAGAAATGCGGTAGGTCCACTGGGTAGCCACCGAAGAGTAAGGCGGGTTACCGCTACCGTGGTGGAAGATGAGCAGCAGAATGATCAGGATGGCCTGGTTGAAGAATTGACCCCAACCCTGCATCAAGAAAGCACTGGTGACCTTGCGACCACGGTGGAGGCGGTCCTCCTTGGTCGAGACCTTTCCGGAGCCGACAGCGTTTTCCATACCGCTAGTGGCAGTCATGGGATATTCACCACCAACACCAATACCGTAGACGAACAATGACCAAGCGTAGCAAATGACCCAGCCGTTCTCAGTGACACCCCAAGCGGCGGTAAGCATCACCAGACCCAGCAACATGATTGCAGCGTCCTGAATAAGACCCCAGCGACGACCGAGCCTGATATCAATTAGCTATGATTACCGCGATGCATTCTCCGGGGATCGAGAACTTACCAATCACCGACAATTCCGACCAAAATCTGGCCGAAGATGATACCGACAATTTCCAGATAGTCGACCGCGTTGATCCATTGTTTGTTGCAAATCGTATGATCATCCCAGCAGGACTTGAAAGAGGCCTCGAACAAGGGTTTGATGTTTCCGATGGAGAACAGAACGTAACTAAAGAGGGATAATGTGAGCACAACGCGTTTTCGGCCGGTGACTAGACAAATACGTACCCCTCGAGACCCAGGCCAGCACCAGGAAGAACCATATTTCGGAAATAGTATGAGATGGGCGAAAGAGGATCTTCCTTTGTCATCTGCCAGATCGAACTGAGCTCCCGCTTGGCTTCTGCGGCGTCGTAGGAACCGACGAACTTGATCCGCTTCAGGAGCGGCAAGTCGGCCCAATACGTGCCATCGGGAGTATAGCTGTCGTCGGGGCGAATGAGGGCGTCAAAAGCGCCCTTCTCGTGAATATCCATATCCTCAAGAGGGTTATGGGTTCCCGACATGTCGGGCCCATGAGGAGCGCGTAGGCCGAAGTCCGTCATGGTGGCGTCGTCGAAGGACCAGTCGAAAAGTGGTCCGACAGTCCGGGAAATTGACGACAGAGAGGGGTGGACGCGAGAAAGCTTGAGACGTCCGTGAGGGTATTCTCCTAATAGAGGAGAGGAGGAGGACGAGAGAGCAAGCTCGGATTGAACGTGATGAAGGCGTCACACACGATGCGGGCCAAGTCGGACAACGGCCAGCCGTCGAAACTTATATTCGGAGGGTGACGGCAAAAGGAAAATCTCTGGGCAGGCGTGGACCAGAACCAGCCCACCAGCGTGCTCCAGGCACATGTCCGAATGGTGGAACGTGATAAGCCAAAAGCAGGTCTGGGTAGCGGAGAAGATCCAACGTACTACTTAGTGTGGCGGGTTCCACTGGGCCTCCGGAGTCGAGGCTGCCGTGTCAGTGGTGAATGGCAGGCAACTCTGCCCCATTTTGCCCAGAACCACCTTCTGGTGCAGGGCCAAGCAACCCTAGAAGCGGGTGAAACTTCCCACGAGCCTCGAAAGCATAATTTTATTTTCGCTTTTTTTTTTTTTCTTTTTACTCTGTGTGTGCCGGGGTTCTGTTCATTCTCACAACAGCCCAACACAACAGCACACTGGGGGGAATGGTAACACTGCAGAACGCAGAGGTAAGCTTCTTCTTCAGGGTCTGAACACCCACCACGAGCACAACATCATTCTGTCTCTCCTTACTTGCAGTATTGGAGATGGATCTCGTGGTTTCTTGCCTAATTGACATTAGTCCATGACTGCATCTCCAATGGATACAGACACTTTTTTAAAGCAGCCCACATCGGGTCGAGTGGCGGCGGAACTAAAGTAGAAGAGATACTTTAGTTTTAGTGCGATGATTAATGGAAAGTCGGCGGGGATCTTCCGGACGCGAACTTGTGCCGCCGGCCAATCAACGGCGCACGTGGTGGCAGAATTCCCCCAAATCCCGCCGGATCGTCTGATACCGCCTTCTAGAATGAAAGACCCTCATCCCCACCCGCGCCAATCAGAGGACAGCTGGTCCGCATTCGGTTGATGGGGTGGCAGCGAACGCATAAGCGGGCATAAGCTGGTCTTTCTCTCCACGCTGGCTGGCTACCCAGAAGGGAAGGAGGCCAAGTGAGCATTGCGGTCACAGCCAACAACTCATTCAATTTCTACGCTACACACGGCTAATCCTGCGGAGAAACCGCTTTGCTTCATGATCATGCGGTGGGGGAAACTTTTTTTGGCTGACATGGAGAAGGAGGGGTTCCTATCATTGACGGTTGTGAACCTCACACGACCACTAACTAAAGCGCACGTCCCATTCGGCCGCTTTCTCCCCATACTCACCATTAAGTTCGTGACTTGTCAGCCTCTCCCTTGCATAATCTATATGCTGACAGATCTCTCGAGTCAGAATTGCATAGTATCGCAAATTTTGTTCCATCCGTTTTCGAATTGACACTTAAGGGGGAAGGGATGCTCCAGTCGACACAGCCTCACCATGTATTATTGTGACGGACGGACGGACGTCTGTCATGGCCGATCTAGATACCTTGCTGCATGTTGGTGCGGCAGAGACATGGAGGATGCATATCGAATCCTAGTCTACTAGCCGATCTCCTAAGATTAGTTGCTTAAAACCGAGGGGATCTTGGCGCTTAGACACAACCATCAGCCAGTGGGAGTGCGTCTAGCGATCACGTTGCGGGACACCGTGCTGTTGCTTGTCGATAACGACCGGCCCGGTGTTGCCAACCTACCACATCTTTTGAAACTCTAATCAGCGCCTACTCTGGTACCCGGGCATACTCGTCACCAATCTGTCAACTTCCACTGTATGCCGAATAGTGGCTCCATATGGTCCAGGCGTGTCAGTGGTGGACGGACGTGTCGGATGGTATCCCACATGGTCGCTGAATATGCCGTATCTATCCCTTGCGGGAATGATCTCTGGTACGTGGCTGTATGTCGACCACGAGAAACGTGGGTCATTTTTGCTCCTAGACACTGATGGAATGCTATGGCTGACTGCTCGTCAGATACCTCCTTTCATCTGCTGTTCTCCAGCGGACATATCCGACGCCTGCTCGTGTGTCGCTCCCAGGCAACGATGCTAGACACCACCGAGTCAAGGTGTCTGTCACTCGGCCCCGGACTTTCCTACTCGGGATGCTGATACTGTGTTCAGGGGAGCCAATGACAATCGAGCATCGAGCCCGTGCCTGCTTGGAGTCTTCTCGATGGCAGCAGCATCCCATATACCACAATCCTCCTACTATTGCTCTTGTCTTGGCACGACATCACTGCATCGTATCCTGAGCCTTGCGAACTAGTTTTGCTGATCCAAATCAAAGGCTGCCCTTGGTTCTATTGATCCTGCAATCTCTGCTCGTCTGGATTGCCTCTAGCTACTGCAGGGTCCGTTGGTGGCGCTCATGTTGACCGATTGCCGTGATCCTTCATCATTAAGCGTTGGCGAAGCAAGCTAGGAGCCACGATTGGCCATGATGGTGCGCCGAGGCACCCAGGATTGATTCAAGGCCTCATCTGGTTCGTCGACCCAATCTACCCATTGCGAGACCCCTTATCGAGGACGCGCGGAATGGTGGTCAGACACTGCCCCTTTTGTCAGAGCGGTCAATGTTTCCAGATGCCAGTCAAATGACGCAGCTCTTAGCCTTTCACTTAGAGGATCTAGCTTGGATTACGAAAGATTGAGCGAGTAGCTCATGGCATCCTGAATTGACCCCTCGCTGGATTTCAGTACTGAGGCATCAAGTAGATAGGTGGCATGAAGCAGTTGCTGAAGGCACTTTGGCCTATCCCTAGCAACGATACCTGACATCAGACTCATGTTGGTCAGCCTGCATATGGATTGGATCCTTGCTAGCTTCTGGCTCATTCTACGGGTATTCTTGCGCTCTTCCGAGAACCGCGTGTGCATAATGGGACCATGGATGCAGGTAAATATGCCAATGCCGCATCTACTACTGCGCACTTATCTTGCACTAAGCCTGGTGCCGGGCACTGCAAAGGAACCTACATTGGCCTCGAGCCCCTCGCCTAATGCAAGGTAGCCCTATCGGGCATCTCAGCTACGGACACGCTGTTTCCGGGTCTCTCTTACTGGCATCCCACGCCCGAATCAACCAGCTGACTCTGAAGGTTTGCCTTGATCCTGTCAATTGCCTTGTTAATCGCAATGTACCGAGCCAGCCGCTTCCGAGGTAGAATTTCTCTTACGTTAACAAGCATTGACAAGCACCAACAAGAACAGAGTAGAAGTGTCCCTTGCATGAGCGGCTCTGGTCGCTGTGTTTGATCATTCGACTCGTGTCAAATTTGCCTATCTTTTACTGCGGCTTTTGCGGAATTTGTGTTTGCCAGAGTCAGGGCAATTTACAATCCTGCCGGCCGGCCGCGCAGCTGCCTAAACGGGATTCCAGGTGCTTATGGCTGTGTTTAGTATCCAGTGCGATATGGCTATCAATTTGCTTCTGATTATTGTCTAGGCTTCCTGTGTAAGTTGTACTTCAGCAGACTAAACTAACAGAGCATTCCATCGCAAACCCGAAACAACGGGCGTACCACCCCTGCGACCAATAGCTCAATTCCATGCAGTGAGGTGCGCCTTTGACTAGACTGCCATCAACCCGGACGCTGTTCTCGAATGCTGCCGTGCAGCTTCTGATTTCCTCCTCATTTGCCTCGAAGAAGACATCGTTTTCCACGAGTGCGAACATAACGGGTGCTGCGACATGCTTCGCCCAACTGTCTCGCCATGTGGGAAGCCAAATAGTTGGATACTGCTGCAACTCCACAACAGGAGTTGCTGTATTCAGGCGGTCACTGTGCGCCAGAACTTCTGGGCTACAGGTCCCTGGCTTAAACATTATTCCATCCTTGACATCCACAGACATCGCAACATGATTTGAGCCGACCTTCTCATACACGGGTGGAGGAGAAGTGTTCGCCGATGGAGACGCCTTGTCACCCATTCCGCTTACGATCAAACCTCCGAGCGGATATCGCGGCTTCTCATCCTGTGCATACATTGCTGCAGTGACGATGCCTCCCATTACACCAAGGCTATGGCACAGAAGGACAATACAGTTGCAACCGTTGCCGAATTCAGACCATAATGCAGGGAGGATATGGCTATGCAACCAGCGCCCAGTTTCTTGATTAAAGTTTGATCCCTCCGGGACGGGTAGAAAGGAGCTAGTTCCACCAACGCAGGGTCGGTCAATAGATACGAACGGGATGCCGAAAGCAATACTTGCTCTGGAGGCGGAATAGTCTGGCGTGGCATCAAAATAATGGCAGTCGTAAGTCCCGCCGTGCAAGGCGACAATCAGTGGACGATGGCGAGGAGATGCGGCTGGATCTGGGATCGAGTGTATGCCCGCCACCGTTGCATTGTTCGGTAGGGCGATTGTGAACGACTGCATCGCAGGCTATACCGGTGGCTAAACCAATGTTGGGCCCGATTACATCTTGACTACAGTTCTGCGGGAAGTTTTCTTCCTAATATACGTGACTACAGGTCGCGTGACTCTACGGGAAGGGTTGCGTGATCCTTACCCTTTATAACGTAATCGGACACCGAAGCGGCGCGACACCGAGCCGGCGCGGCAACCCTCAACGCTTCAAACAAGCCGCCGCTCTGCCTACTAAAATGCAATAATCGATTCAAATTGAAGCAATTCAACACTAATTAAATGAATTATATACAAAGAAACTAGGTGTTGACTTTATCAGGACATTTGAGGCGATTATGGCCTTCCCTATTATAATTACTGCAGCGTGGTGGCCGATGTTGAATACTTTTTGTTATTTGTATAGCTTCAACATCCTTTTTTTGAGTAATATGACGTGCAGTAGAGCCATCTAATATGCCTCCTTCTTGTAAGAAGCGTTTTGAAGCCTTCTTCTTATTCTTTTTATACTGATCCACTGCACGAAGTTGATTTAATTCCTGTTGAAGCAGTACAGTATTTTGCATTGCCATTCCTGTACCTTTATACACATTTTAGAGTGCTTATCTTGACATCAAATGCCTCAGCGCACGCCTTTTTAGTAGTAAATTGACCGCGATTGAAGGTCTCGCAGGCAAGTGCTAGCCTCTTATCTCGAGAAAGACCCTCCATACGTTTGAATAACTTCAATATTGACTGAATTAAGCAAGGTTGAATGTTGCGTGTTGTGGAGGTTTGAAGTGGTGAGGGTTGCCGCGCCGGCTCGGTGTCGCGCCGCTTCGGTGTCCGATTACGTTACGTGATCAAAACAAGTATTAGTCATCAATAACAAGTCGCATGATCTTTATAATTACTGTATCTTCTCGCTGAATTTCAACTTTTCTTTTAATTTATAATTTACAGTCTAACGGCAAGTAATTACTAGGAGCGGGAAGCACCAGCTGGCCAGTAGCCATAGTATGCAAGTACTATTAGTAGTAGTTCTATTTTTATTAATAAAATCAGTTTAAAACTACTTTTCTCTTATGTCAAGTAGTTATACTTATGTTTTCCTTGAGTTCGGCCATGGTGATCGGTAGTGGTGGTGGTAGAGGTAGAGATAATGTTAGTAGATGGTAAAAAGAAGGAAAGAGATAGTGTAATTTGAAATTATTATTGTGGGTGATGTGACAGTCACATGATCTGGAAGTACTTACTAAGCCATTTTGGGTCGCGCCAGTGAATTAACGACCATCCCTCACCTGCACCCACCTAATATACCCAGGACTATGCACGCGCAACTTTCCTAATTTCCTGATCAACCTGATCAGGTGCCGCGGGACCCGATCAGGTGGGTCAGATCTTTTCTATTACAGGACAGTTCTGCATACTACAAAGATAGCTATCCTCCAATTGCCTCACCAACATCAGCAATCAAGGGTCTACAATGACTTGATCTCCCGTAAAGTGTATGCTCGAGTAGCCGAGTTTGTGGCGAAGACCCACCCGATTCGGGTATAGGCCTTAACTCCGGGCACGTCCGTCGGATGATATCTTCGTTGCACGGAGATAGGATTGAATGGATTACAGTGAGGAGGGTAGGAAAATTCATTCTGTGGGCGAGATTAGGGGTCGTGGAGTCGATTCTGATATTCATCTGGTGACAAGGGTATTAGAAACAAGCGGAGTGCCATTTATATATATACTATCTCCGTGGCCTGCAGTGACGTAATGATAGAACATCACCAGAAAGGCCCTATCTTGTGAAAGAAGAGGTAGGTGGCACTCTCCTTAGTATCAAGAGACTACAGGTTTAAATCCTGTTGCGGTCACCTACTCTAACACCCGGAGGCGTTCCAGCCGAAGGCACACAAAGAAGAAAATATCTCAGGCTGCAAATATCTGCCAGTATGGAGGCTTGTAGTTGTAGACTCTGTACCAGGATCTGTCCATTCGTTACAAAAGTAGGGGTCTATAATCGAATGGAAAGCCTTGATGCCAGGCAGCATACGATACGTTTCGGACATATAAAATTAGAGTTCTGCAATCAATCACTTAGTAGCTGATGGGATAAGATAAGAGATTATCAGATGCCATACCCGGATCTTTTTCTGCAGTGCCCCAGCAATCACTCCAAATCTCTCGACATGCCACTACACCCATTGAATACCCTCCTGCACCTTCAATCTACACCCTTCCCCAAGCAATATACCTCTTCACCTACTCATCTATTGAATCCCCTGATTCACCCACGTAGCTCTGATTCTGACTATATAAACCCCACCTCCCCCTGTAGACCACAACTTCTTTCCTCTCTACTCCTCCTTCTCCATCAGCATTGATCCTGGCTTTCTTATTATAATCTCTATTATATATAATAATTATCTCATATAACCGGGTATTATACCAATACAACTATCAACAACATATTATCATAGAAGGACATATAATACGACATCAATAAGATAAACTCTACCAGCTATAACCATGATAGACACACCAAAGCACCTAGTGGTACTCGGACACTTGAGTACTACAAGGATGAAACTTCCAGAGAGTAATACTCCTCAAACCCACCTACCATCGAAATACATCTGGTAAATACGCCCACTCATAATGCATCAGCGCTATTTTTTCCTTGCAAAGTACAAGCGAAACCAACCAATCAGACAGAGCGGAAGCATAGCTCTCACCAGGTTTCATCTATCATCTATCTGGAGTGAGAGCATCCAATGCCAACCTGGCCATTTGGATAAAAGATGCAAGGGAGTAAACCATAATCAATATTGAAAGAAAGGGCCGACAATGGAAAAAGGGCCTAGAAGTGGTCGACCCACTAAACTTATCACCTACAGAGACAATACCTATTATCAGATTGATGTCTTCGTTGAAAATCAGCGGCACAAGTTGCTCCGTACGAGATTCAGCATGGAGTGCCTTAGGCCCGGCTACACCTTTTACAGCTATACGTTAATTAGTAGAGGATGATTTACCCGGGATGAGAGCTCTAACAAATTCGTTGATTCGAAGTGGACATTTACAAGGACGCAGCTTTGCTCGAATGGCTACCGAGAAGTTGAGTTATCTGCTGATACCTGCAATGCTCGTCGGTAGGTAGTGGCGTGATACGCTACGTCCTCCCATCGAAGACGGGTTCACTAGTCGCACAGATACAGTACGGATGGACGTATGGTTACATGCTTATCGAATAAATTCTATGCTGATTAGCCGGAAGGCGTGATATTTAGACAAAATGAAGCTTTGATCAAAACTCGTCTAGACGCAACCCTGATGAGGCGTGTTGCTCGTTTCACATACTAATGTACGAAAATGATACTGCCAGTGCCAGCAAGTTTCAGTACATCGACTTCCCGGAGCCAGCCCGTGTGTTACATCCGAAGATGGTGTACAAACTCTAAGTCTGGAAGTACGCACCGAAGACGTTTGAGTTAGGGATGAGAGAGACCAGGAAGCCTTCCGCATGTGGTCGGTGGCCTGTGTCAATCCAAACGGGGGATTAAGAACTATCCCAAAAGTCTGCCGAAGCTGAGAGGAGGTTCAACAAACATCTTTGAAAGTATATGGCTGCTACGTTTCGACCAACTGCCGATGTAACAATGATTGAAACCGGAATGATACGGCGGTTGAAACTCAACGACTCATCCGTATTGGAAATGTAAGAGCCCATGGAGGCAATTTCAAGGCGGATACCTCCCTTTATGAAGTAGATTCGCGTTATCTCGATGAAGGTGGAAAGGTACACCCACCACGCAATGATCGGGATACTTGTTATGAAAACACAGGGAGACTCCTTAGGGACGGAGACAGTGGTTGTTCATGCACCAACCCCTCAAATACATAATCTCACATAGCATAACACCATTGCAGGATGCTGCAAGGAGTAAGAGCCTGCTCATGAGATGAGCTGCTATAGGCAAATAGCGAGAGGACGAATCCAACAGGATGGCTCCTAGGACACATGCAACACATCGGAGTCATGGCGGCCCTCGAGATTCTTAGTACCTTCATGCCACATCGCCATGGCTCTAGTCGGTGAGTTTTTAAGGAGAAATATGGTTTCATAAGCACAGTTGCGGTCTTGATCGAATATAGGGTCTTGAAAGCAGCTGACTTAAATACAAAGGGGAGTTAATAGAAAGAATCTTGGTGGTGGGAAAATCTAATCGAAAGACTAACAGCCAGGAAGTGTCAATATGGACCATATTCTGATCCACAGACTGGTCGATATTTGAATGGGTCCGTTTAACCAGTGCACCTGCAATTCGAAAATTGGCAAAGATGCCCATGCAAAACTGACAAAGCCAATGGCATGCAGGACGAGAAGACAGGTTACGCATTCTGGCACAGAGAAGGGCCAGTATGTAACTGAGAAAATACAATAATTGTCGAAGCTCAAGCGGAAGACAGACCAGGGCACAACCAAACTCTAGACTAAAGTAAAGAGACAGGCACTGATTCCATATCAGGTGGTGGAAAACCCTTCATTTCCGAGCGAATGACAGATAGCGTGCAGTCAATAAAGAGAGGCGTCCCTAGACTACCTGAGTGAGTCGCAGCTTGCTATTTACTATTACTGGCTATGACTAACGAAGTAATCAATAACAAGGACAAATTCTAGCTGACTTTTGACTTGCTCAGGACGATTCTGACTAGAATGAATTCCTAATTAGGACTCGGCTGGATGCCATCTTTCTTACAATTCTAGCCGTCAAAAAGCGGCGATATTTTCTTCAGGATAGCCACAGATCTTCCTCCTCATCGTGAGGGTTATGAGGACTGGCAGGTTTATAACATGAGAAGTTTCAATAGGTCTATGACAAGATTAACTGCTTCCTACATGGCCACACAGATTACTCTTTTTGGCATAAAGATGTTAATTTAGCAGAGACTAATACTATCATTGTGGAAGCCAAGGCAGTAGGAAAAATGGACTGGCATCAGGCCTTAGCATACTTGGACTGATGCTGGGGGCCCTCCTAGCTGACTCAGTGGGACTTGGAAAAACTTACGTGGGAATCGATTGATTTCCTCCTGCATGTGAGTATATAAAATTGGTATGGTGGGAGGCTTTTGCAGCTGACGCAATGCAGAGATACTTTATGTTTATGAAGCAGTGCAAGGACAATCATCGATAGGAAGTACTATCTGCGTTGTCGCGCAAATATATGATAACACTTCCTCAATCAAAGTATTGTTAACACATGATGGGACTTATCAGTCAAGCATATTGAGACGCCATGCAAAGAGGCCAGACGTGCCTAGTTATGGTATCGCAACCGATAGCATCGACTGGGTCTTTATCAGAGTTGACCAACAATCGAGGGGAAGTAGGATCTTCCATCGAGACTCTGCTATATCTGAACCCTGAGGTTGTCACTCGCCCGCGGGCCCATCAAACGGTTGGATAACGGGGATTTCCGGCTGATTATACAAACGAGGAGCTCGCAACAATTAGCATCACCAACCTGGACTGTCCCAACATTTCGAAGATGGTCCGGAGTTGCTCACCAAGATTCTGGCAGGGAAACGTCCTTTGAAGACTTCGGCAGATCTGGACCGAGAAGAGGACAGAAGGCGCCATCCTAGCAGACTCTGTAGGCCTGGGCAAGACTATAGCAAGCCGGCGAGAAAGTCAGTACCAACCAACACTGATTGTGGTTCCTCCGCACCTTCTAAAACAAACAATGGTCCTCGGAACTGCAGAAGCTAAACAACAAGTTGGACGTGTGTGCGTACCTTGGAGACAAACGTACACAAGGGGCGAAGTATCCTTTTCTATCATCGAGTGTGAAGTTAGGCTGGGCCTAGGGATAGCAGCAGATAGAAATCTATTGCTTTGTGCATAGGTTTGTTGATTATGTCCCATCAGCTGGGGACCGATGACTGGTCTGCCCTAGGAGAGCTAGGAGGGGAAAATTCGGTCGACAAATCAGACTGGGTTTGTAGCCAGGTGCTGGTCGGATGGATGGTACCACAGGTCTGAAACTGACATAATTGGCTCCAGCGCGAGAATCGTGGGCAAGGCCGGTGGATGAATTATCATCTAAAACCTACACTTACGTGTGGTATATACACGGAGATACACGCATACTAACAGCCGAACAATGACCTAGCGGGGACTCTACCGTGTTCCACGCCCGCCAGCTAATCGTCCAATCCAATAGACACTCATGACCAGTCTGACCGTGCTGACCTCGAGATAAATTGAAATCGCCATGCAGCGAGCTTGTGCCAATCCCCACACTGGGCCTGATGATACCCCCTGCGGACACGACACAGACCTCTCTATCTGATGTCTCTGCCGACTGAGTGCGCCGAATCACGTACTCTCCAAAATCCGCCGAGGCGCTAATTATATCATCATGGAAGTCTCCCTCCTTAGAAACTGGATCAGGGAGTGGGAGTTGACTGTCAATCCTAATGATCTTTATATCTGCGCAATGGTCGTGCTCCAGAAATACACAAGGACTCGCCAATCGAATTTCCCGACCTGAAAGGAATGGGTAGATGCGGGAATCAGCCCCAGCAGTTCTACCCCCAGAATGTTGAATGGTGGGAGACCCTCGCCATCGCGAAGGCCACCCGCGAGCTCGACCGGATAGCCATGGGACCGTTATTGGCCCACAAGTCAACTTAAAGACTGCGCTTTACACGTGCCATTATTTGAGGAGAGATGACGGAACTCACTGGTATCAATTAGAGAAGAGTAATGGATAAAAGCAAAGATTACTAAAATTTACTCTATAACTTGATTGAAGGAATATGTCAGACAAAGTAGTAGTATATAAGTGATTATAGTGCTTTAATATCACGGGGTGGAAATATAATGAGAACTGATGTAGCTGATAATACGGCGTAGAAGTAGTAGGTAGTTTGTTTGCTACTGGAATTAACTCCTACAATGAGTCATGTATTTAGGGCTAGTTACATCCGAATCCGATGAAAGACTGACTGTACACCACCAACTAACGATCATCATCTATTAGTCTTTTACGATCAAGGACGTGCTTTGCTACCTGTTAAACAGACCTATGGTACCATCCCCCGAAATACTCAGCTCCCTACAACATACTAGTCCACCTTCCATCCTTCTCCATGCAACTACCCATTGTTTTAAGAAGTGAGCGAAGCGTACGGGATCACAGGTCAATTCGTCCTGATGGAAAAAGTGACACAGTACCGAAAAGGATGCATCCATATAACATCGGATGTACATAGTCGATCGGCTCGATTTGGCATTGGTATATGTCGTAGGTAGTGCATACAGGACAGCTACTACCAGTTGCTGATAGAGACAAAACGAAGGCTTTCCATCACCGAATCTTGCACTTCCACTGGCTGCTACAAGCCTATCACACAGGCATTATTCATGTATCGATAGTATGTAGATATGCTAAGCATGATCAGTCCGGTCAACTCGGATTCTATTATAGTTGGTTTCCAAACCCAGTGATTTCTCAAGGATAGTGTCAGTTGGCCCGCAAGAACCAAAGATAGTAGTGGTGGTGTTGAATCATAGGTATCAGATAGAAATAAACTTTGAATAGTCCTTCTCCAAGTCAATCAAGTTGTGTAGACTCTGTTCCCTATAGCCAATGCATACAAGCACAACATCGAATGCAGGCTCCTGCAATGCTATGGTCAATTTCTGGTAGTATGTCTCTTCCGCTTTTGATGAACAGTTCGAGCCCTCATGAATTCATGGAATAATTGCTTCCATAGTGAAGCACGTCTTTCATTATGGGTATGTACTTTTCGTCTGCATATTGAGTAGCTCTGTGCATAGACTAAAATGACACACTATTCCGGATCCTGTCATTACCATCCATGCTTTCAGATGTGCGATTCTAATTGGATTTGAGTGGCAGCGAATATTTGGCTTCCATAAAGACGTGTGGGCTTATATGAGCCTTGCTGATGGGAGAAAAGCAACCCGAGACTGTAAGAGGACGAGATACCTACCACTAATTAGGGGAGTGTTCTTATAAGTCTTGCGTTGCTAGACATCTTACCGTAGAATATTCCGTCTCTGTCATTCCTGGTGGTGATTCAGAAGACGAACATGCCTCGACCACTTCCTCAGAGAGTAGTATCGTTATGAATCTGCAGACGCACATTGAGCAGAGCGTAACCATCACTAGCTTTCAGAAAGCAACCAAACCAATAATCGTGCTTGTTTGGGTTCGATCTGCTCAGCTTCTTTATAGATATATTGAAACAGAATAATGCCATATACATTTAGTCTCGTACTATTAGACTAATCACGCACGGATCATCGAGGCAACAGAAGATTCTGATATTTCTTCTAGCCAGTCTCGGTAACATGTCTTGGGGGAAATATAGAGCTTGGTCACGTCCTCGGCGCAAGTTCTCCTCTCTGAAAAGATCAAGACGTTGGGTCTCGCCCTGTCTCGCCTGATTCCCTAAATCTGCGAGTCCACTCCATCACGAGTCTCTAGCACCTGGGACTAGTGAGCCATGCTTCACAGTGGACCCTGATCCCTCAACGACGATGGAGGGGAAGATTTGGATGGATGGACCATGCTGGAGGATTGCAGTGCTGACATGAGCTGCAGACCGAAGTCATCTATACCTTTATCGTCGTCATTGTTGTCACTGTCCAACTCAGACTCTGCGGCTCCGCTAAGTGCGGCAACCCGCTGGAGAAGCCATTGTATCTATTGAATTCTGGTGTCAGGAAGAGGAAGTCGCACCGGATCCGGAACTGTGATTACGAGGCATTCCCCGGACTTCATGGTTTGATGGCGTAGTGGATTGTACAGACGTATGCCTCCTGACTCAGGATTGTAGTCTATAGAGGTTCATTCCGACTCCTCATAATGTTAGCTGGTTATCAGGACCTCTTGTTGTGTTTGATTATAACCTGTGGGACCGGACAGCAGGAGTATCGAACAGCAACAACCGATCACCCATCGTGAATAATCCTTTCCTGCCCCGACCATATACTCCAGCTCTTCATTTATTTCTATCGAAGTATACTCCCATTTGATTTCCTCTGTAATGCTCCCCCTCTCTAGCCACCTATATCCATGCTGTCATCTGGAGACTCGACTCAGAACCCGACGATCGCATTAGGGATGGCTTCCTCCCGGCTTTCAACATCTACCCACTGCTAAGTTGCAGTAGTTGACGCAGAGCTGGCACCAAGGTGGACACGTAAAATGGTATAACATGTGCAGTTATTGCCTTTTTGACGGGGTAGTCAGTCATGTTGGTATAATATCCCAAAAAAAAAATCAACCTCTCTTTCGAAATTGACCCATTATGAATCTACGGAAAGATTTCAGACGAGTCATATATCGATAGACATCATCTGTTGATTCATTCTGACACCTTTTGCCTTCCACCTTAATCAAGAGGTATTGACTGCTATTGTTCTCCAGTGGAAGAACCAATTCGTAAACTGTCCAATCCTTTAGACACATACTCAGCCTAGCAAACCTAGTACTTAGGTCTGGGGAGAGCTTGGTTCAAGAAATGCTTGACCAGGATTTAGATTGCTGACTGCACAGCACCAATTTTTCGTCCTCAGAACCGGCTGAGGCGTCCGCAGATTTCGTTTAGGGTATCGTTTTGTCGGGACACGTCCCTAAAACGGGCCTACGGCCCTTCTTTCCTTTCTCTCCCTTGCAGATATTCATATATCCAATTTAATGAAAGTAGATATATACTCGAAAGATAATTTTCAGGGCATTCTCATCTAGACCCGGCTCTAGCCATTCTGATGACGTGACCCGATACCAAATCTTCCAACCATCTTAAGATAGTATAATAAGATATACTAAACGGCCACATACCTCCGTGATATTGATCGCTTTCGATGATAATATCTTCGATAGTATATGCTAAAACCCCGTAGGATCCATTCAACACATCTCCCTTTGATAACCAGGAAAGACTTGTACAGATCGGACAGATTGGGTTCTGGGCGCCCCTTTTCTCCTTTTTCCATTGCAAGGTAGTCCCCGTATGACTTCAAATGCAATCCTATCCATGTGGAGGCCATTTCCACAGACCATGCAGTTTCGTGCTCTTTTGACATCGTTGTCATGAGAAATATCATGTTCCCGTTGCTTGCTGTCGCATGTTTGGACAGACGTCTGATAGGGGTTCATTCTTGCTGTGCAGGTGTGTGTATTGCACGGTGAGCAAGTTCAATGTATGCTTGATTAGTAGTATCTTTAGTAACATAGGTAGTATAGATATTATCTTGGCTTTGCATGGAACATTCATATATTGAAATGTAGATTGTGTACTGATGTACTAGGTACAGGAACTTCACTATGTTCGCTGTAGATTATTCTTCATAATGGGAATTTGGATAGATATTGGGGTATAGACATGGATCGAAGAGAAAATAGAAAAGATGGCGGCTGGCTGGCTGGCAGGAAGAGGATTTTTATAGTACAGGGAAACGGTCATCTCAGGTAATGATGGCGAGTGAGTGAGTAGCTATAGCGAATATAATGGAATGAGGATGGTGAAAAGGATTTGGTTGAATGTAGTAGTATTCGAGTGAAGGAGATGATACTATATGGTATATGATGGTATAGATGTTGGAGTATTCAATGAAGTGGCATAGGGTTCCTTGTTTGCTCTGGAAAGACGTCGTTTGAAATTCCCTGTAAGACTTGGCCGGCAAATGCTGATGCACGCAAATTCCAATGTTGTGACTTGTGAGTAGTCTATCAATCTACATCTACGTTACCTATAAGCACATTGCAACGAGACATCAACCCCATTCATGACTACGCGCTATAGATCTTGGATATCGTACGCATAGAGGTATATAATAAAGGCGCAAAAAGCATGACCAAAACGAAACAGGGCAGAACCTAAATGGGTTGGTTGGGAAGTATCCATCCCAGGCAAAAGGCAAATATGCGATTGCAATGATCACTTCAAAACCGACATCTGTAGCAAGAAAAACACCTTCGTACACCATCGTTTCACTTGGTATCATATCTGGAATGTATGAACGCAAAATTTCCCATCTTCCACGGTTTGGTATCTCAATAAAACCTTCCCAAGGGCACACTCATTTGGCACCTACACACCCCGGCTGAAAACGACCAAGCACACAAAAAGATCACAACGAACATCTCGCAAGAATGAAAACCAGGGGTAGAGGGGAGAATATGGCAGGGAAGGAAAGGATCACAACGCTAATGCCTTTCTCGTATTCTTCTTCCCTCTATTGCTTTTTTTGCATCTTTTCTTTCACTTCCTGACGTCTTATTTGACTTGCACTCTGTGGTATCAAAATAAATCCGAAACACGAATCGCTGACAACAAATCAAAACGAAAAACAGAAACTAAATGATGAAAAAACAGAAGTCTCTTGGGGTATACTGCTGCAAATTGACATTGATTTTAACGCGGTGGCCCGATGGGGGCCGGGTATCCAGAAGTAGAATTGGAAGTACTAGGACGACCACTGTCAAAAGAAGCGCGCGGGTCATGCTTGGGGGTCATGTCCCCTGGCGCGGTACCGAATGGAAATTTGGTGTCAAAGCGCGCGGGCCAGCCATTGCTGCTGCTGTGGCTGTGAGAACTTCCGAGGACAGGCACGTCGTCCTCGGCAAGGTTCACGCCAGAATCATTCCATGGGTTGCGGTAGCCACTGTCTCGAGACTCCATGGAGACCAGTGACGCCTTCGAGGCGTTACTGGACGCATGCTTGAAGAAGGATCCGGGAGAGGCCGAGTGATTCTTGCGGCCAATGAACGAAGAAAAGGAAGAGATGCTGCCGGGCTTCCGCAGTCTCTCGAAGATAGACCCGCGCTCGCTGGTCTCATCCGAGAAACTGGGGCGAGTGGGGGAGTCGGTGACAATGGGAGCGGGCGCATGCTGCAGCAACTTGGAGTCGAAGAAGGGGAGAGACTCCTCGAAAGAGTCCGACTTGGGACGAGGAATAGCTCCCTTGACCGTAGTCGCGTCGAGGCCGTGAGCGACCAACCGAGAGATCAGGAAGTCAATGGCATCCTTGAGTCCGCCGGCATTGTTGCGAGTATATCCGAGCACAACCCGGTCTTCCGGCCCGAAGACGGGAGAAGAAGAGCCACTCTCCGAAGCCGAGGCCGGAGGGTCCGAACTAGTATCGACGGTGGTATCGACCTCGTATTGGTCCTTGAGCTTGGCACACACGTCGTCGTGGAACTCGGTCGACTTGAAATACTCGCGCAGCTCGGCAGAGCTCTGGAAGAGTAGCTCGTGGCTCTCCGGAACCATTCCCTGCCAAGGTTAGAACTGATGATTCCATCATGAGCAGTTTACTTACCAGTAGGGCGTCAACGGCCTGTGGGACCTGGTACTCGGGTCCGGAAATAGTCACGACGTCACTGGCAAGTTCGGTACTAGGGAACTCGATCTTGCAGTTCCACTTCTTCTCGAGCTCATCGATTTCAGAGATGCGCGCGAGTAGTTCACGGTGATACAACCGGTTGATGACGACACGTTCAGAGACATACTCGGCGTCCTATCCAATTAGCAACGAAACTCAACCCGGGAATGGCGAACTTACGACTTTCTCGACCATGTCCATGATCTCCTGCTTGACCAGATCCAGGCTCTGGGCATTACGCGCAGGGGTCCGGCAAATGACATTGTCAACCTTGATGTCGTCCTCCTCTTTGCCCATGCCGCCACGGTCCATGGCGTTGGAGAACTTGACAAACACCGAGTATTTCTTCATGATGCGCTGAATGTGCTGACCGCCAATGCCGATGATACGCTTGTGGTACTGGTCTGGCACGTGGAACGAAATCGACGCCGGCATTTCCTGTTCAACAAGATCCAAGCCATTCTTGGTAGACTCGTACTGGTTTCCACACACGTCAATGTAGAAGTTGTACTCGTTGAAACCATCAAAGATGATTTGCACGTTGCCTGCATATGTTAGTACGTGGCTCATGTGGCGATTACGGTAAACTCACTCTGGCCCATAATCTTGTTGATCTTGCCGTTCTTCTTGCCGCTGACGAATTCCTTGTGCTCGTTGGCGAGTTCAATCTTCACGCGCATCTGGTACTGGCTGCGCTGCACAAACGGGATCTGGTTGATCACCATCATCGCCGCCTTGACCGCGTCATCCGAGCCATTGATGGTGAACGTCAGGTTGTCAAAGCTAACTTCAGCGCCCGAGTTGCTGCAGATGTCAGAGAGCATGGTGCGGACGTCTGCGGGAGACGGCGCCCGGAAACCCCCTTGCGACGGGTCCGGCATGATGATCCACCACGACGCGCTGTAGAATTGACCAGCCTGCAAACGTTAGTCAGACACGAAGCCGTTTGGAATGAAGTGCAGTGCAACATACCAAAGCCATGATCTCCCGCACGGTGCGCTCGACGTGCAACACTTCGGTGCCCTGAATACGAACCAGACCCCGCTGCGTACCGAGCTGAGGAAAGAGGACGTAGGAGCCGTTCATCTCCATCACCTTGCGGACCTTGTCCAAACGGTCGAGCAGGATGTTGTCGATCTTGTTCGAGTTGACAATGACATCCTTGACGTAGATCTTCACGCCCATCACAAGTTCTTGAAGCTTTTGCTTCGCACGTGCAATCTGCTCCTGCGTATCACCGGTGATGTAGACCTCGTTCTCGCTGCGACGGTGAGCACCCGGCGGCGTGTAGCCGAAGATGCGCGGGAACGGCGGCGGGAAGTAAATGGCCGTGCCAGTGGCAGCCTCGATCAGCTTGATGTTCTTGCGAGTACGGCCGCAGACCAAGGTGTG